GTTAATTAACCTTAATTGATTAATTAATTAATTAATTAAGGCTCTTTCCAATGGTCTGCCTTATATAGCTAGCTTATGCAACAGGCCATAATGTTTCATTAACTTGTAAAGTTAAGCAGGTTTTAGACAAATATGTTTTAAAAATTAAAAATAAAAACATTTTGGTTTAGCTTGGTAACTGAACACACTGGTTTGTAAAGCAGAGTTTGTGGCTTAATGTACTTTATGAATCTGGACAATTATAGTTTAGGTAGTAAACCATGGTTAAGCAAATTGGTTTAGCACAGAGGTAAGTAACCTGCATTCCTCCAGACGTTGCTGAATTACAACTCCCAGAGTTCCTAGGGAACATGGCTAGTGGTGTGGGGATGCTAGGAGGTGCAATTCAGCAACATCTGGAGGAATGCAGAATACCCACTTTTGGCATCATGTTGTATAGGGCCCAGCCGTGATTGGATTTAGGCAGCCATTTTTAGCTACATGTGTCTGAGTGTTCATCAATAGAAGTGTATTGTATTCCTTCTACTGCAGGAAGTTCATATGTGAAGATATGCGTGGGGGGCTGGCCTATGAGAATGTGTGATAGAAACGGTGCTCAGTGTTCTTGTCAAGAGTGATGTATTCCTTCTGAAGGGCATTGTTTTGATACACAATTTTACACTTCTTGGATTATCATGCACGATGCATTGATGGTTAAGAGAAGCATTGCTTACTCAGTCCAGCTTCTTGAATTTGCATGATTCATAAACTCAGCTTATACTCAGGGTCGGTACATCATGCCAAGCTGGAATGGGGCTGGTGAGTTTCTGATGTAATGTGTTGGGCAAACCAACCTCTGTCTCAGTGATTTTGCACTGAGAACCATTCAGTTTTGCTGAAAGATACCCAAGTTTGGCATATTTGTGAATCTCTCCTTTCAGGACCTTTGCCCAGGATGAGGAGCTTCCATGGGCCGTTTTCCTCTTTCAGACATTAGTGGCCTTTGAGGAAGTAGACATGCATTGCATCAAAGTTGAATTGCTTAAACCACTCTGAACCAGAAACTTTGGTGTAGAATGGGAGAAAGATGGCTATTCTTCAGCTCTCATTAGTTGTCACAAGCTGGATTTGGAGAACTAGGTAGAAAGGTGGGGTAGAAATTAAATCAGTAATAGCAACAGGCTGGGCTAAGATGGGCTAGATTTACTGAATGTATTTATTGCATATTAGATTTCTACAGTATTACACTGTTCCTTCAGGAGCTCAAGGTGACTATAGTGAAACGCCTAACAGACCTTGGGACCCAGTAAGGGCAGCTTAAGATGGTTAAGGCAGGAAACTGGGCTGTTGCAGAAGTGATTCTGGAGGCAAGGAATGGGGAAGTGCAGGAAAGAGAATCAGAGCAATTACGCTAGGTATAAGTTGATCTGGAGAATTAACTTTGGTAGGCATTCAAGATTCTCTTTCAATAAAGATCTAGCAGTAAAGGTCTCTCCAGAAATCCAAGTGGATCTTGTTTCCTGAGTTTGCCAAACATGCTGGACTGATATTAATCCTGAAGGTAAAGTAACAGAATCTTGAAAGACTACCAAAGTAATGCTTCTGCACAACTTCTACCTAGCATAATTAAGGTGGAGTTTACTCTGGAGGAAGCCTAGGATAAAAATGAAGGTGGTGGTGAGGTTGCATTTTAGTGAATAGGGGCTTTGTGGTTGCCATGGACACATTGGCAGCCATTTTGAGAATGGGCAAGCCTCCCCACGGCAGCCATTGTAGGAATGGGCAAGCCTCCCCACGGCAGCCATTGTATGAGTGTGCCCACAACATCTTTTCAACGTTCCAGATGTGTCTAGTGGTTCAGAATAGTCGCCTTACACCTACCCTTGGCTTGAATGATTAATTGGGTGTTTTCTTTTTCCATCCCGCCGCAGTAGGAAGACTGTGGGGGAGAGAAAATGAAATGGAAGCAGCTGGAATCTCTGTAGAAGTCAAACACAAAGAGGTAGAAGCACCCCCAGGAGTTCCAGATGACTCAGAAAGACGTCAGGAAAGGAAAATGGCTGCAACAGAAAAGCAGGGGAATATATCCATCGCCAGTGAAGATGCTGGCCAGGTAATCCCAGCCGAGCAACAAGTAGCAAAGGAGAAGAGAGAGAACGAATGCCATACCTGCGGGAAAAGTTTTGGTTCCAAATCCCGCCTGAAAGTGCACCAGAGGATCCACACGGAGAGACGGCCCTATCAGTGCCGGGAGTGCGGCAAGGGCTTCAGGCAGAGCGGGCACCTTTCTCAGCATCAAAGGATGCACACTGGAGAGAGGCGCTACAAATGCTTGGAGTGTGGGAAAAGTTTTAGCCAGAGCACCTATTTCATCCTGCACAAGATCACCCACACAGGGGAGAAACCTTTCACCTGTCTGGAGTGTGGCAAGAGCTTCAGTCACAGCCGGAAGCTTGCTATACATCGCACGATCCACACGGGCGAGAGGCCGTACAAATGTCAGGAGTGTGGGCAGAGTTTCAGCCAAAGCACCCACCTTACTTCCCATCATAGGATCCACACGGGAGAGAAGCCGTATCAGTGCACTGAGTGTGGGAAATGCTTCAATCAGAGCACCCACTTGACTTTGCATCGGCGAATCCACACGGGAGAAAAACCATATCAGTGTCTCGAATGCGGGAAGTGTTTCAGCCAGAGCCCACACTTAACTTTACACCAGAGAATCCACACCGAGGAGAAAATATATAAATGCTCCGAGTGTGGGAAGGGCTTCCATCGGAGCGATCACCTGATCTCGCATCAGAGGAGTCACACAGGAGAGAAACCATATCACTGTTCTGAATGCGGGAAGAGTTTCAGCCGAAGTTCAATCTTACATAAACATCAGAGAATCCACAAAGATGGGGAAACATCCATCTGAATTTTTCTAAATGCTGAACTGGATGGGCAGAACTTACTTTGAAGGTTCTGGTCATTTAGGGCTTTGAAGATTGCTTACAAGAAGCGAGAATGCTTTAGTTGTAGGGGTTTAAAATATGGGATATGTCTCCAAGCTTAGAGTAGTGAGTCTGCCAGCCCTTCAAGGGAGACCAGACTAGGAAACCAAAGTCATGCAGGCTAATACTACTTTTATTATATGGTTGCAGTAACAGGATTTTGCAAGTTTGAATGTGCTTCCCTCCTCTCTCAAAGGAGGGAGAACTAATCTTTGTGAGAACTAGGGAGGTTCTTGTCTGAGACACTTTCTCAGGTTATAGTTCTGACCTGGACTTGGGTTTCTTTTATCTGACCATTGTCTTGGTTACGGCTCCTCCTCCTGTTCCTCAAGGTCATTCCTTCATCTCGTTACATGTGTGAAGAAACAATTGCCATTTAAGGCATTTACACGGTAAAAAGCATTTGTTAAGTTCCATGTATTGGTGTGTTTGTGGAGGAACATCTGCATCATGGTGCCCAAGATTCCTTGAAAGGTCTCCACTAGTCTGTTCATCTGGTGTCAGCCCTTCAAGGTAGACCAATCTAGGAAACCAAAGTCAGGCAGGCTAATACTACTTTTATTATAGACTTCTTGTAACAGAATCTTGCAAGCCTGAATGTGCTTCCTCTCCCTCCCTTTATCTTTGGAAGAACTAGGGAGGTTCTTGTCTGAGAAACTTTCTCAGATTACAGTTCTGGCTTGGACTCAGGTTTCTTTTATCTGACTGTTATCTTAGTAGCAGTTTTTCCTCCTGTTCCTCAAGGTTATTCCTTCTGTCCATTACATAGTCAGATAGCTTCCCAGGAATAATTAATATCAACCCCTCACCAAACTCCAACCTCCAGAATCCCTTTCTGAGATCTGAAGTGACTGCGCCAGATCTATCCATGACTATAACTCAGGGATCAATCATTTGCAGGCAACGTGTAGGTGCCAAATTCCCAGTTGGTGGCCTCCATCAAGTCTACATTATGCTACTGTCTTTAGGCAGCAAAATGCTGGATTTTGGTGGTGCCATTTCAGGGAGATTTTTGCATATCCCCCAAAAGGTTATGAAAGAAAGAGAAAAATTCAGCTCTGGCCCTTCCAGTGACATCACAGCATCACCAGCAGTTTCCTGTGGCTGTTTGAAAGGCCAGGAGTCTGAATTGTAGCCTGTGAACCCTCAAATGTTGCCCATTCCTGTTCTAACCAAGCAGAGAAAGGGACCAGGGAGAGGCAGGATTTGGAGGAGAGGCCTGAACTTCAGCCCTAGAGGGACAAATGGGGAAGTCTTTTGTGCCAGATTTGGCTCATGGACCAAAGGCTCCTGATCCTTTCCCTAATCTGTAATGTTTGGAGGAAAACTCTGAAATAATGGAATTCCCAAAGTCCATGCAGAGAATCAGTGCTCTGTCTCATTATGAGCTTGACAACTTGTGATCTGGTGCCTAACTAACCTTTAGACAGTAGACTAAACTTCGGAGTATTTGGGGAATGTTATTCCATAATAAGCATGCTAGGAGTATGATGAACTTGCATAAATTCTACCAAAATAGGAGTTAAATGTGGAAATAAGGTGAGGAATGGAAGTTATAATAAAACAGCTTGGAAAAGTTCCAATGTTTTCTCTTTGCTACCAATTGGAGGGTTTTTCCAGCGGTTCATCTACACCAGTGTTTTTCAAACCTGGTAACTTTCAGATGTGTGGACTTAACTCCCAGACTTCCCCAGCCAGCCTGAGGAATTCTGGGAGTTGAAGTCCACACATCATAAAGTTGCCAAGTGGTCAATATCAACAGCATCATGTGGACTGGACAGGGAGCAACTAAAGCTAAATGAAGCTGGGAAAGATCTATGCGTTGCGGGAAATGAATGTTTAATAATGGAATACAGGAAATAAAAAACACATTTGGGAGTGCATCCCTCAACATCCCATTCAGAAGCTGATGCTGAAAAGTTTGAGGACTCCATTAGTGGATCTAAGATGCAATCAATGCCCCTTTTTTGTCCAAATTAGAATGAGGTAAAGAAGGATGACCAAAGTATATCCCAAGAGTGTGAAAATGAGGACAAAAATGGATAGTGACCACTCTTATGACTGCAAAAAGCTTGATGGTACAAAAGTAGAAGGACATTCCTTCTCACCAATTACACAGGGATGTGAGGAACTTGCTGAACAGGTTGATTCCTGCACTGGGAAGAGGTTGGTCTAGATGACCGCTGGGTCCCCTTCTAACTCTTAGATTCTGATTCTATATTGGAAAGAATTTCTGTATCACAAAAAGCTGTCAACAATGGAAGAGACTGGCTTGGGTGGCAGTGATCTTTCCTTCACTGAAGGCAATTAAATGGGCTGTATGACCACCAATACAGGTAGTCCTCGACTTATGACCATTTGTTTAATGACCATTCAGAGTTATGACGGCACTGAAACAGGTGACCACCAGTCCTCGCGCTTATGACTGTTGCAGCATCCCTGTGGTCATGTGATCAACATTTGGGTGCTTGGCAGCTAGCTCACACTTACAATGGTTGCAGTGTCCTGGAGTCATGTGATTGCCATTTGCGACCTTCCCAGCCAACTTCTGACAAGCAAAACCAATGGGGGAAGCTGGAATTGCTTAACGACCATGTGATTCGCTTAACGAACATGGCAAGTCATAAAATCAGGCACGACTCACTTAACAACCACATTGCTTAGCATCAGAAGTTCCAGTCCCAATTGTGGTCATAAGTTGAGGATTATCTGTACTGGTGGATTCCTGTACTGGGCAGGGGCTTGTTCTAGGCAATCTCCAAAGTCCCAGTGCATAATTTCTAAGACGCTGATTCTTTCCACACGTGGACAAGCAGTCTGTTGGCAATCTTACCTACAGCACTGTTTAGAAACGTGGTCTGCATATGTTACTTTGCATAAGATTTTTTTCTTTTTAAAGTTAGGTAAACCAACCTAAACATATATCCATCAAAATGGCACAGCATGATACAAGCGTGTAAGTAGTAGCTGAATAGTCTGTGAGCTCTGCATTTGTATACATTCTTTTCATTTTTTTTCTTTCACAGAGAAATAAAAAAGATTAAAAAAATGAAGTCTTGCCTTCTTGTCATTAACCCCTTCAAAAGTGATTTTATCCCATTCTTAGAAAGGTCTTCTCCAGATTCTCCTCTGGATGCATCACACTTACAACCGTTCCCGATCTATTGTTACTTTTGCTGGCTGAAATTTCTGGAAGTTGCAGTTCACATGTATGAGGGGTATCTTATAGGGTTGGTAGTGAATGCAACTCATGCGTATATACCTGAAACCCCCGTAATTATGTACATTTATTTCAGTGTTTCAGTAATTTTAACTCTTTCACTTAAATTTCCATTTTAACTGCAGTTGGGCCATGCCCCAATTTTGGGTGGGGGGAGCATTTTATAAATATACTTTTCACTTGTTTGTTTCTGATTTTGCAAGCATACATGATTTCTCAGTGCGTGTGCCTTTGTTAGAGAAGACTCCTGAGAATACTGTGAATACAGCCTAGAAAACAAATATGGATCATCGAACAAATCATCTGAGTTCTCACTCAAGGCACAAATGGTCTTTCCTGGAGTGGTGTGCATGGAGAAATGCAAACTTCTTTAGGATTCAGTGTTTATTTCCAGTGGTGTTTTTAATTTCAGAAGTGCGCGCATAAATGTGTACATTTGAGGATAAGGGCACTGCACACTGAAAATGGTGCAAAGATTTTGAATTGTAAGCAATATATTTAAAATCTGCAGACTGGATTTAGGACTGGACTGCAGACGAAAGGAGAACAAGTCTCAAATGGAATGATTTACAAAGAAGCAAATCTGGATGGCGAGGAAGACATCAAGGGCAAGATGGCCAAGGCAGAACAATTCTGGCATTTGAGAGATCATTTTATTATTTTTATTAAAGCTCAAAAAATAAAAACCAAGAGCTCAAATGAGAGGCAAAACAAAGCATATTCACATTCAAAGCAAAGCCAGAAAACTGGGGAGTGGAGAAGGAACCCAGAAACAAGAGCATTACAAAAATTTTAAAAAGGGAAAGGGAATAAACAACAGCCAATTTGGATACCGGAACAATATTCCAGAGCAGGGGACAAGGAGATCAAGGAGGCCTCCCCTTTTCTAACAATGTACAATTCATACAAGTAGGGGTCTTGCTTATAGTCAGAAAGGGGGCTTAAGGTAAACCCTAATAAGAGGACACCAACTGATGACTGATGGAGGCAGCGCTCGCGGGGCACAGCGGCAATCTCCAGGATTTAAACTTTCAGTATTTCTGAAAGTATGGTAAAGTCCTTATAAGGATGTGATATTTGAGACTACCTGAAGTAATGGGAGAAGCACGTGAGGAAGGCATTGCTTGTACCTATATTAGGTTTTGTAAAACAAAACAATTCCTTTTCTGCTGCTGGATACAGTATCAGATTACATGAGCCTATACAGTGAGCCTATACAGGGAGATATTTGACATCAGGGGTCAGCAATCTTTCCAGATGCCAGAGCTCAAAGGGCAAAGAGTGCTCGCAAAATAATAATTTTTTTATAAAATTAACCCCAAATCTCACAAAACATCAAATAATCACACATGGCAGTGTGAAATCTTACGTGATCTCTTGCAAGACATTGCATCAGATGTAACAGCCTTGCAAAATGTCAGCCTTTTTCATATACTTAAAAAAAAGTTATTTAACCACGGTGATTTGCAGACATGCTTTATGGACAGGAGCGGTGAAGGGTCACTGCTGACTTTGCCTCTATATTAACCTAGCCTAGATGCTCCCTGTTGCTTTCAATTCCAAATTCTACTCACGTTCACCCTAACTCTAAGGATAGGAAGCCCTAAACCACAATCTGGACAAATCAAGATTGGGGATGGCAGCTGTACATGGTTTAATTTGCAAATCAAGCCATCTGGCAGGGTGCAATTCCTGTGATGGAATCGCGCACACATCCCCTCACCACATGTGCGTCAACCCTTTGGGTAAAAATGCAAAGGAACAGCTTGGAAATCTGTGCGGCGAATTGCTTGGAAAGAGAGGATGGAGGCAGCTGTCTTCTTGGAGTAAGAGATGTTTCAATTTCATCTGAATGGCAACCTTCAGGAAGTGCTTGTGGGAGAATTCCCTACTCTGGTGTCCTACAGATACAGTTCCCAAATTTGCACTCAGCAAGTCCACTGGTTGGGGAAGACGGTTTAAGTATACTCAGGTCTCTGCTGCAAAAAGAATCAGCGCAGTCCAGAACCTTGTTACTCTTGGCGTGAAAGGACTGGAGGGAAGGGACTCTCATCATGCTGTTGGACCCGATCCACTCCGCGCAGCCTTGCATGCATTGCAACCCCTTGCCCTTCTTTCCACTATCTAAAGTCACCTCTACCCTGCAGATGCCAACTGGTTTTTGAGTGACTCGCTTTGCAAGGAATCCCGGGTGGTTTCATATCCATGAAAACAATCCTTTCATGGAGACATTTTTTTTCTCTTCTGCAGAACTTCCAGGACACTCAAACTGGTTTGAAACTGGATTAAACCAGGGGTGGCCAATGCAGCTGGTGGCTTATAAAACTCTTCTTTGCAGAGCAAGGTGGCAATTATCCCAGCCTTATCTTTTACCCAGAACCAATTCAGAGGAAAAGATATGGATTGGATACTTCACAAGTGGTTTCCTGCATCCGTCTACAATCTCCCTACTTGGAGGTAGGGACCTACTCTATCAATCTACCATCTCCTTACCTGGAGTGAACTTTTATTTTACAGAGAGAGAGAGAGAGACTCAATCGTTGCCTTTAACTTAAAAAGATACAATCCAGAATTCTATTATGATGCTTCTTCCCTAACCTGATGCTCTCCCGATGCGTTGAAATCACAACTCCCATCATTCACAGTCAGCAGGGCACGAGGGAGAGCTAACCTAAAGGCTGGGCTTAGACATGCAGCAGGAGGTGGTGAATGGATGGCTTGAGTTACTGTAGGACAAACGTGAAGAGAGATGATGCTTAAATATGTTTGTTTATGGAACACTCACTGCGAGGAATACAAGAGATAGGCTTGCACTTGCCCCCTGAGCTATTAGCTTTCCACTTCCAGGGGGTTGAGTACAAAACTCTTAAATTTTCATTGTTTTTCCTCCCGCAACAGAGCTCTTTCCTCAGGACTGTATCACCCCTTCCTGATGTACCTAGGACGGCTTTCTCCAATAGATTATGTTCAGAAGTGCATTTTCCCGCAGTCTCCCTACTATGTCTTTACAAGGGGACAGACTGGACAGCTGCCTCATGTTCCAGCCATCTTGGAACTGGATGCTCCCACATTAATTGTGATGCCCTGCCAAGTCACCCTCATTTCATCCAAGAGGAGAAAGTTCACGCCACTATCTAGCTATCAAATAAATAATAAAAGCATATGGTCAGCTGAGCTTGCTACTACAGCAAACATCAAATGAGATCGGAATCAAACTAATTGCTCCAGATCCAATGTGACTAAACCAGTTTTCCTCTACTTATGGTTCCCCTTGTACATTTGCTGCCGTTCAACTATTTTTCGATGCCAGGCAAAAACTGCTCTGTGCTCAGACAGGCGGACTCTCCACCAATTCGAAGGCCTGATCAGTTCCAGGTGATTCACGTGTGTCCACTGTGACTTAGTCCCGATGGGTCAAAGTTCTTTACAGCTCAGTTCCATAGAAAAGTCGAGTAAAATTCACTTAAAACCCTTTGCGAAACGGAAGCTACATATTAATCTATTCAGGTAGGCAGCAAGGGGGCACATGGGCCGAAGAAGACCCTGAAATCCGTGTCCCGTGGCTCCTCTACTACAGACCCAAATCTTCTTTTCAGCTGATCAGAAACTGGATTTTAGGCACTGGGAAGCAAAGGAAGATACTAAAGCAGCATTTCTCAACCTGGGCAACTTTAAGACTTCAACTCCCAGAATTCCCCAGCCAGCAAAAGTAACAACAGATCAGGAATGGCTGGCTGGGGAATTCTGGGAGTTGAAGTCCACACATCTTAAAGTCGCCCAGGTTGAGAAACACTGGACTAAAGCATCAGGCACCATCACCGTGGTAGTTCTCTTTTGCTTTCATATACACCTGGTTCTGGTCCTCTCTGCATTTCCAGTTCCTCTCTCAAGGGTCTAAAACGGGCCTGGTTTGGCCACAGGAAGCAAAACTGGGATAGCCAACACATCTGGGGGAAGGAATGCTGCCCCCAGCAGTCTCCTCCATCCACAAAACCAGTCAACTGCAGCACAGTCCCTTTCGCAGGATTCGCTCGCGCAAAAGAGGAAGCCGACTCTGACCAGCAAAGAAACAGAACCGAACGCCCGGCCTCCCCCACCCATTCACATCTTAGCGTCGTCGCTCTGTCCCCCTCCTTCGGCCGTTTCTGGATCGGCCTCTTCCGACACCTGCGAGAGGTCCGACATCAGGCTCAGGTTCACACACTCGGGACATTTATCCGGGCTCTCGGTGGCCGAGGAGAAAATCTTCCCGCAGTCGGCACAGATGAAGGAGTTCAGCCCCAGGTGGCCGCGCTGGTGGCGGAGGAGAGCGGCCTTGGCTTTAAAGCAGCTGCCGCACTCTGAGCAGACATAGGGCTTCTCACCGGTGTGAGTCCGCTCATGGGCAATGAGTTGGGAGCTCTCCCGGAAGCCTTTGCCGCAGCCCAAGCAGAGGTATGGCCGCTCGCCGGTGTGGGAGCGCTCATGAGCCACCAGGCTGGAGCGCTGAATGAAGCCCTTTCCGCACTGGGGGCAGACGTAGGGCTTCTCGCCCGTGTGGGTCCTCTCGTGCTTGCTGAGGCTGGAGCGGACGCTGAAGCTCTTCTCGCAGTAGAGGCACTGGTAGGGCTTCTCCCCCGTGTGGGTCCGCTCATGGGCAATGAGCTCCGAGCTCCAGTTGAAGCCCTTCCCACACTCCAGGCACTTGTGGGGCTTCTCGCCCGTGTGGGTCCGGATGTGGGCCATGAGATGGGAGTTCTGGCTGAAGCTCTTCCCACATTCGGAGCAGGTGTAGGGTTTCTCCCCGGTGTGGATGCTCTGGTGGCGGATGAGGTCCGCGCTCAGGCTGAAGCCCTTCCCGCACTCCAAGCACTTGTAGGGCTTCTCCCCCCGGTGGCTCTTCTCGTGGAGGACCAGGGTGGCCTTTTGGCTGAAGCTCTTCCCGCACTCCAGGCAGGTGTAGGGCTTCTCGCCCGTGTGGCTCCGCTCGTGGATGATGAGGCTGGACCGCTGGTTGTAGCTCTTCTCGCACAGCAGGCACTTGTAGGGTTTCTCCCCGGTGTGGGTCCGCTCGTGCAGCTGGAGGTGGGAGCTCTGGCTGAAGCGCTTGTCGCAGTGTGAGCACTTGAACGGCTTCTCCCCCGTGTGGGTCCGGCCGTGCGTGTTCAGGGTGGACCGTTTCCCAAAGCTCTTCCCGCACTCGTTGCACTTGTAGGGTTTCTCCGCCGGCTGGGGCTTCTCCTGACCCCGAAGCTCCGCGCTGGAGCTCAGACTCGACCCAAACGTTTTTGAGAGCTCTTGGCCTTTCTTCTGGAAGAAGCTCTGCTGGACCGCAAACTCGCTGAAGTCAAAGAAGCCCCCACCGAACGGGATAGAAATCGGAGCCCTGTTCTCCAGCAGACGACCCTCCGTCCTTGAGTGGCTCTCAGGGGCTCCCGACTGGCCCCCGATGCTGGGGGGAAACCTGACTTCATCTCCGCCCCACATCATCCTGTTCAGCTGCAGTCGCTCCGAGCCCCCAGGCAAACAATCCCCTTCTTTATTCTGGTTCCTCCATCCCGCTGCAGAAAACAGAGAATCGAGATGTCAAAAATTCCCAACCGAGTCAAGTAAACAGAGATGCCAGTTAAAGAAGGATGGAGATGATGGAAGTAACCTGCGAAAAGTCAAGGTTCAAGTCCTCATGGAGAGATGTCACAGAAAGTGGGTCACTTAAAACATAACCAAAATAAAATCTAGGTGGAATGAATTGTCTGAAGAACTTAGCAGGCAAGGCTCCGCTTGGGAGAACATTTCTGGGAGTGAGCGTGGTAAGAAAGTAGACTGGAAAACTGCAGAGGACACTTGGAGGTCAGTGTGAGCTGAACAGAAAACCCCAAACAACTGAGATGCACTGTGAGAGCCATGAAAGCCAACTGTCAGCTCTCTGAGGTAGGCCAGATCAAGAAACAGGCTATCAGGAATGCTTACTATTTTATTCTACCCAACATCAGAACCTTGAAAACCTCTCTCTGTTCCATCTTATACCAAACAAAATCAAAGTGGGGTTCTTTTGAGTTTCTTTCTCACATTCCCCTCTTTCTTGGAGTTGCGCAATCTTTTCCACAAGTCCCTCCTTACCAGCTTTCTCCTTCCTTCCCCATCCCCAAAGTCAGCCCTAAATACACCGACATCCCTTCATTGGACGTAGTCTGATAGCAAACAGAACCTATGCTTGATCATCCTTTCAAACAGCACAACCAGTCAGTGGGCAGGCGAGGGAATCCAGCTCAAGTGTGAAATGGGAGGGGAGATGTCATCCATCTAAGTGGGTGAGCAGAAAGGTGACCTCCTCTTCTTGTAGCACCATATCCCACAAATAAAGAAGACGGGGTTTTGAAACATCACAGCTTCCAATTTTTTGTTTTTAGGTGCAGTGGAAGAGAGCCAATTTGGGGTTGTGGTTAAAGGCACCGAGCTAGAAACCAGGAGACCACGAGTTCTAGTCTTGCCTTAGCTGGTTGGGTGACTCTGGGCCAGTCCCTCTCTCTCAGCCCTAGGAAGAAGAAGGCAAGGGCAAAACACTTCCAAAAATGTTGCCAAGAAAAGTGCAGGGACTCAGCCAGGCAGCTGCCAGGAATCAAGACTGACTGAAAGACAGCAGAATGCAAAACGAAGCAAGACATTCCCATAGAAAGTCTGCCTGGGGCCACGGGAGTGGCTGTGAGCTCACTGGAAGCGAAAGCATCAGCAGAGCATCCTGTGGCCATATTATGCCCCACAAACTCTGAACATCAACTAAAGGACAGTGACCTTTGAGCCGCAGTATCATTTCTTGGAAAACGGTGCTGTTCTGACACAAATTGCCGTATCTCTGTTTTATCTCCTCCAGTCTCCCAGCCAGCGGCTCCTCTTCTTCTCTGAGGATTCCAATGAGAGAAATGAGAAAAGAACTAGCAGGACTGGCTCTGAAACAAGGACATTATCACAAAGTGCAAACTTCAATGTTTGAGTTCATAGAGTTCTTGGCGCTCTCTGAGCTTGGCTGTTTGTTTGGAGAAGTCTCGTTACCTGACTAGGTAACAGCGTCTGTGCAAGGGAGGGTGGGTTTGCTCCCTGTTTATATGCAGTAGGTTGCCCTGACAGTTTTGGTGGGGGTGTGGTTTCCTTCTCCCTTCCTCCCCCAAGCAGAAAACAATACCCTAATCAAGGAACTACCAAGGAGAAAACCGCACCCTCACCAACACTGGCAGGGCAAGTTACTATATATAAATAGGGAGCAAACCCCACACTCATTAGCACTGATGATCTGCAAGCAAACACCCAAGCTCAGGGAGCACCAAGGACTCTGCAGTTCCACCCTGAGCTACAGAGATTCTCTTCTATTAAGTTCCTAGAATCACAGAATGGTACAGCTGGAAGGGACCACAGGGATCATCTAGTCTAACCCTTTGCAATGTGCTGAAAAATCCAACCATCCTTGAGAGGTGGATGTCCAGACTGTCTAGAATGGAAAACCTACAACCTCCACAAGTAGACTCTTCCACTCTTCTACCGACCTTACTGTGAGAAAGTTTTTCCTTGTACTGAAACAAAGTCTAGGTAGCTGCAACGTAGACCCATTATTTCTGATCTTGGGTTTCTGGGACATGGAAAATAGCTCCTGACCATCTTCTCTGTAGGTTCTCTTCGGGTACCTGAGTTAGTTATCAACAGAGAGGTGATGATGGCCCTCAATCTGGACAGCCCCTGAAGAGGATTCACATTGTCCTCCAGGAACTTTTGGTTTCTTCTTACATTCTTCTAAGCTAAACAAGAGGAGATTCTAGGTAGACAAAACAAATGAACTAAAACAAAATGACTAGTTTTATCCCACAGACTTTACATTCGTACTGAACTAAACCATGGAACTCACTGCCCAAAATGTAGCTATTGACACCAACCTAGGTGGAGTCCTAGGAAGATCAGACCAATTCACCAAGAAGGAGGCTATTCGTGGCTACTAGTGGCAATGAGTTCTTCTCTCCAGCAAATAAATAAATGTGTTTTCTCTCTCCCCAGTTGTTGGAGAACATGAGACATTAGGAAATGCGAGAAGGCACTCTGAGCTCATATCATGGTTGTGAGCTTTCCCAGTAATGGTTGGTAAGATGCAGTACAAAACAAGGTGTTGGACTATAAATGGTTCCTTGGCTTCATCCAGCATGATTCTTCTCAATTTCTTAGGGCCCCTATATCGAAATGAATATTGCCCCAACTGAAGCTCACTTGGAAGACAAGAGAACCTTAGGTGATCTCCTGGACAAGACCATCTTGCTTGCCTCGTGGGGGGGAGCGGGAGAGAGTGGAAACTGAGAGGACCAGCAGCCAAGACCATTATCGAAACACGGGGCAGGCGTCCACCACCTCCAAGGCTAAGGAAGGAGTGCCAAGAAATTTGTAAGGGCAGGAGAAAAAGACACATTTAAACCATGGGGCTGTTAAAAGAGCTGGATTGTTGATTCTGCAGTGGCTGATCTTAATTATTAGTGCTTTTTGTACTTGCAATAAATACAACTTATCAAGCCTAATCTTTAACTCATCATTGCTGGATCCCAAGTATGGGTTTGAGTTCCTAGGGAGAAATTTATTTTTGAGCCTTGGGTGAAACCCTGGCAGAGATGCTGTGAACAAAGGCAATTAAAAAAACTCCAATTCTTACCTGCTCCCAATACTTCCAGACTCCTAGGAGAAAAGAGAGACATAGTTATACTAAGGAAAAATCTGCTTATGAAGTCCAGCCATGGAATTAATTCACTGCCACAGGATATTGCAGTAGTAGCAACTGCTCTTTTTTTTTTTTTAGATTACCTTTTCTTTTTTTTAAGTTACCTTTTTAATGTAACCAGTAGCAATAAAATTTAATGTAACCTGCAGCAACAGAATTCCTCTTGGCCATTTTTTCTGTAACTGGGGTGGCAGGTAGCATTCAGTATAACTACTGCCATACATAGTTTTGTGCTCATAGTACAAAAAATGAGAAAGCAAAGAGTTTGCTTCAATTCCCCTTGCCCCATCTGGAACAACACTGAACAAAATGCCTAGTTTTATCTGAATTCAAGGCAAAATTCCAGAAATCAGTGTGTTTACTTTTAAATCTGAATAGCCCTTATTCAACCTTACGTTCAGGTCAGACAGAGTTCTCTGCACAAGATGAACAGGCAGCTTCCATACCATAAAGACATACCATTATCTCCTCACTGCTGTTCTCTTCCTTGCCCTCTTCCTCTTCCTCATCTTCTTTCTCTTGTTTCAAATCAACCATTTCTGAATCAGGCCTCACCTTCCATTGAAGAAAACTGTATTAATAAAAACCACGACGACTTTCTCTGTTTCCAGTTTTCCTCCCCCCAACTGAAAAAATCATTGGGTTCTGCATAAATACATACCAAGCAACATTTCACATCCCAAAGAAATCAGTAAGTTTCAGTAAAGAAATAACTCAAACTAGGTAAAGAAATAAAACCGTGAACTGATTTTGACCATAGCATCTTGGTTTAAAGAAAAGCTCTTCAAGACTTCCTTATTCAGCCTCTACTCTACTAGTTTTTCTTGCAGACAGGAAAAACCCATTCTGCAGCAGTACAAGTCACTCTGGAGAGAGAGGCAATTGTTGCCTTGCATGCCTTCTCTTCTCTTCTCTTCTCTTCTCTTCTCTTCTCTTCTCTTCTCTTCTCTTCT